GGCTTCCCTCAGAAGCAGGAAGGAGGGATTTGTGGCTAAAAATGTAGCCTCCGGGGCTGGGGGTGCAGCTAAGAGGAAGAGTGTTTACCTGGTATGCCCAAGGCCTGGAGTTTGAGCACAAAAAAAGAAAAGCTACAAGTTCCTGAACCAAACCACTCAAGTCGAACTCTGACTCCACCACCTTCATGTGGGTGATACTAGAGGGTTATTTAACTTCTTCTGCATCTCAGTTTCCTTTTAAGCAAGGGGTTACCAGTCCTCCTTGCTCCAGAGTGTCGGTCACTGAGCTAGCAGGGCTCTGGTAGTAGACAGCACATGAGAACTAGTCAGCACTTGCAAACAGGGTCAAGTTTTTACATCATTGCTAATGCTGAGGTTTTCATTTTAATGCTGTATTTTATTCTTCTGGATATTTTCTACTGGACACTGTATGACTTTTACCATCATGGAAATGAAATAAATTTTTAACGCATTTCAGTCCTCTAAGTGAATTCAATGAGGAGATTAGCTGAAACTACTTTGCCATAATTGACACAACATCTGCTATTTCTAGGACAAAATCGAATAAAATATAGTCAACTCTCGATTCTACATGAGGCATGTTCATTTATCTGCAGCTAATCCCGCTTCCCCATTTTTATTAGCCTCATTAAGCACTGGCTATAACATCATATGTTACAGCTCTATCGAACGTCTGTTTACTCTCTCTCCCACGGCCAACAGCTCAGCTAGAGCTTTGTAAACCAATTCTCTTAATGATCGAGCCAGCCAGGGAAGATGAAAACCAGGGATACGGCGAACCTAAAGTAGGAGCAGCAGCTCTGCTCCCAGAGGGGATGCAGTGCCACCCCGGATAAAAGGGAAGATGCTGGAATGGGATGCTGCAGGGTCCACCTGAGGCCCTCTCTGGTACTTTAATCCTCTGTGTCCAAGTCACCGGAGGTCCATGCTGCCCGGCCATACAAAATGGTGTCCAGAGAAAGGTCTTCAACACAATGCTGTCTGAACATAAAAAGAGTGTGGAGAATGGCTGAGCCCACGGTCTATAAAGAAAGTTCACACGTTGTACCACTGTGCATGTGTTTACATAATGCAGAATATGCAGCATCCAGTGAGCTCTCTACCCCTTTCCATTAAGTAGGCTGGTCCCTGGCTCCTGATGGAGACTCGAAGGCTGTCGCTTCTCATTCCAGAACCCATGATACTGGATGTGTCATTTGAAGCCCAACACTGCTCTTAAGAAGGCTTTGCTGGAGTCTGTGCTCCTCTCGCTTCCCAGGTGCTTTGCTCCTGAGCATGGGTCCATGAGCTGTGCCTCTCTGTGTAAGAAGATGTCCCCATGCTCCAGTAGGCTGAGTGCTCTCAGGATCAGGGCTCAGGAGCAGTTCGAGGCTCTGAGCACCAGACAGGTCATGTTCTTCTTGGAGCTGCTGGGTAGCACTGAGGACTCTCTTATAAACTTCCTATGATGCTTAAGCTTAACTGTGCACTCCTTTGGCTTGAGAGATGCCTAGATTAGTAAAGGACACTTAAAAGTGTGTCTGGATGGGTCACCAGGGTGTGACCGCGAGGACTGTCTCTGGACCCTGATTGTTTCCTCTCTGGCTCACCCTGGGTTCTCGGCTTCCAAGATACCACGAGTTAAGCAGCTTTCCTCCACCCTGACGTTTCTGCCTGGGAACCAGCCAACCAATGAAACTTCAGAAAACATGAGTGAAAAGACCTTTCCTTCTCCAAGCTGACTTTCTCTGGTTTTGGTCACTAAATCACCTCCCCCTGGCTGCGGCAGCTGGGCTGGATTAACTATGCTCACCAGCAACACTAGGCAACCCCATCTCCTTGGGACAGAAATGGTTCCTAGGAAATCCACCTAACAAGGGGCATTGTCTATGAGGACAGATAAAACTCACTAGAAATTTGGCTCTTGCATTTTCTGATTGGTCCTCCAAGCCAAACCTCTCATCTAAATGAAGGAAAGGTATTCAGTCTCAGTTTCTCGAATGGAAATGAGTATAATCCTATCAGTATCTTGGTTCTTACAAGTATGCACTTAGCTGACCATAGACATTCTGAGCACATTTGTCTTGCTCTGTTTGAGCCTGGGTGTCCTTTTTCTCTTAGCCTCGCCCTCATGGTCTCAAAGATTAGGGTGTGAATTCCAGGCAACGCATCTACATTCAAAGCAAGAAAAAGAGGAAGATGGTGGTGACTTTCCACGGGTTTTGTTTTGGTTTGGTTTTTGCCTATGTAGTTGAGACTGACCTGGAACTCACTATGTAGCCCAGGCAGGTCTCGAACTCACAGTGATCCTCCTGCCTCAGCCTCCCGAGTGCTGGGATTACAGGCGTGCACCACCACGCCCGGCCTCACATATTTATTTTAATAGGGGAACAACGGCTTTGCCAGAAACACACCCAAGAGTGGGCTTTCTCTTATATTATCATTCCCTACATTAAGATAAACTAGGAAATCTCATTATTACTTAGTTTCTCCAGTCTCGGCAGAAAAGAAATGAGAGGCAGGCTGGGCATAGCTGCCAAGCCAAGCAGGGGCTTCCCAAGGCGTTAGAAATGTTCAGATTGTAACTACCCAGATGCAAAAGTTATGTAAGAAAAAAAATACAGAAGTAATAAATCTATTACAAAGCCAAACCTTCGAGGTTTACCACCTACCATGTGGAGCTCTGCCTGGCCTTGGTTTCTGGCAAAGCTCCTGCACGGTGTCTGCTCAGCAGAATCTCCCTAGTGCCTGCACTCACTGTGGACTCCTGTGGGACCCCCAGAACTAAGGCTCAGGGTCCCCAGAGCAGAGCGTACCCATGGCGACCACGAGGGGGCGAGAGAGCTGCTTCAGCTGAGACTAAATCTGGAGTCTGTGCTATCACCCATTCCCCCAGGTGGCTCCCCAGCTCCCCGGGGACACACAGGTTATCCTAAGCCACCTAAATGAGCCCATCTGCCAGAACCTGTGACGAGGACTTACGGAATCCCAGCCCCTTAGGACAGGTCGCGTTGCCACTTTGAGCTTTGGGTATTTTGGTAAACTACAAAGGCTCAGCAACGGGTATCACTAAGGGGGCTCCGAGGGCTAGGCGTCCCCTCCCTCTGAGCTCCGCCGCAGCCTCTGCGAACCAGCGAGGCTTTCCCGTGCAGCACACGGCTCACCTCCCTGCACAGGCAGCTCCTTAGCTCCCGCCGCCGCCTGCAGCGCCCCTCCCAGCTTCCAGCTGCTATTTTAGCGAGCAGGGGAGAAGCTCGGCAGTCATAAACTTACGCAGAACACGGCACTAATTTTAATGTGCAGGCAGCTCCAAACACTTAAGGCTTCTATAAAGCCACAGAGCCAGCGTAAGAAGGATCTAATTACTACGTGAATTACAAAACCAAAAAAATAAATTGAATAAAGCACAGATGCGAGGTTTGCCGTAATGTCTATTGGTGCCTAGTAAATGGCCACAATTGAGAGAAATGTTGGGAAGACCTGGCTCAGGCGCTGTCCCAAGCCCAAAAGTGCCCTCGACAATCGCTGGCATCCCTGCCTCCTCCACCGCCCCCGGTTCTATTAAGCGAATATTAAGCCGGGAAATAGTCCACAGGCAGCTACTTAATAGTCCTGTAATTGTGAACCGCAATTATCCACGACAAGCGCCACCCACAGACATGAACAGAATGTGTTCATGGCTAATCAATTCGATTGATCACTGTTTATTAAGTAAAAACCTGCTTTCTAAACAGTTCCTCCCTAAATGGTGTTTTTTGCAGGCTGCTAGAAAACAGTAGACTAATTGGGGCTTTTAATTTAAATGGGGGAGTGCAAGCGTGCATATTAGCAAAGGCCTTAGGGGCACAGCGTGGGCCGTCAGGCTCCCCCAATGCAGGACGAGAGCTGAAAACCCCCCACAGCCTCCCTCTGCTCCTCCGGTCCAGAGGCTGCTGTGGCCAGATCAGGCGAGGACACTGGGAAGGAAGCCTGCTCATCTATGGATTATGGGAACGTTCAGGCCTCATCAGTGCTGTTAAATTGATCGGCTCCATTCAGCACCTTGCAAGCGGAGCTTGGGAAATCAATGAACGCCGGGCAGGTTAGGCACCCAGGTAAGTGACCATGGCCGTAGTTTCATTATCTCCTTAACAGAGAATAATGATCTCAACTGCCTCAAGGGCTCTAAATCTAAACAAATTACAGACCAAAAATCTAATCCAGCCTGGGAGATCAGCACAGAAGAGATGGGGGCAATTAGGTGAGGGAGGCATTGGCCTTGCCCATAGGGAAGGTCTTCCCCAAAGCCGCTACCCAGGAGAGGACTGGCCCAAGAGTGCCCGGAGCTTGGCAGAGCAGCAGGGAAGCCCGCCTACCAGCAGAGACTGCCACAGTCAGGCATCCCAGCACAGCCAAGACCCCTTCCAGAGAAGGCAGCCGGACCTCTCCTGGGCCCCACCCCTCCCCGAAGAGCCTCACCCTGGCCTCACAACGCCACCATACAGAACAACCATCCCATACTTCTCCTTCAGTCTGCTGTTTCAGTCTTTTACACTCTCTCTCTCTCTGATGGAGGAAACCTCAAAGAGGCCCGTCTGATGTCCTGCCTGACACAGACAAGGCACCAATGAGTAGAAACCATTGTGCAATTACAGATGTAATTTCTGCATGGGCAAATACTCAAAGCCTCGGAAATAACATCAGTTACTCCAAAAGGGTAACTAACCAAAGAATATTGAAATCTTCTAGGAAGGATATATAGGATTTTTCATTGCCAACTGGTTTGCTATTTAGGGGTTCAGATCCTCAAAAGAGGTAAAACTGCTATTTTATATTCTGGAGGCAGAGCTAGTGTTATGTATCTGAAAAAATAAGGAAGGAAGGAGAAAGAGAGAGAAAGAAGGAAAAAAAAGAAAGAGAGAAACTGAAAATGTTTAGCAGTTGTTTCCCCAGCCTGCACTCTGCTCGTGGTCTTTGCAGGCCCATATCCTGGGCTGCGTTAAATCTATGTCTCTGTCCTGATCTCATAAAAAAACATAAACTAGGTTATCGCATTTTGATATGCAAGTGGCAGATGCTCTCCTCCAGCTGGATAATGAACATCAAAACTCTGCATCACAGAAGATATGGGTTCTTGGTCACAGTGCCCTAAATACCACTGCTTGGCTGAGAACTATTACGGCTGGTTTGAAATCTGCAAGTAGCAACATCCAGAGTTCTGTGGGAAAGAGGAAAACTTTTAATAGGACCAGGCTGCATCAAAGCAACCCATAATTAGGTACAAATTTGGCTCATGGTTCAGCAATTTATACAGATTAGCTTCGTTGACCTTCAGGAGCCCAGGATGCTTCTTCCACATTTGTGGTCGCAGAGTGACCTCTAGTGTTAAGAGGGAAGGATTTTTTTTTTTTTTTTTAATGATAACATCAAACATTAACATCTTTTATCCAGTCTGACTTAAAGTGTAGGACATGGCATGCCTGTAGGAAACAAAGAGAAAGTCCTTAGGAAATCTGCATAATCAGGTACAGATGTGAACTTCTTTGTCGGTATTCAAACCACCATTAGTTATGGAATGTTCGAACTTTCTGTCGTGGAAATTTTCAGAGTTTGCGCAGTTACGATGTACGTTTGGTTTCTAGCTCATTGTTGGCTTTTTCTTTTCTTTATGTGATGAGGTTGTGCGAAAATATAAATTTTTGAAGTGGGTACTTTATGGTGCTCTCCGGCTTATGGACAAATCCCTTATTGCTCCTCTTAGTTAAGTGGGCACTTCTTAATAAGGAAAAGTAACTGCAGCAAAACCTAAGTTGGGGGTTATTTTCTTTCAATTCTTTGAAAGTGAAAGTAGGGGAACCACAGAGAAGCTCTTTGGGGCCAGAGCCAAGTTCATGGTGATGACTTGTTGGCTCAGCTTTTATGGGACTTGGCAGGGAATGGGCAGGATTCAGGGTTTGCTGTGCACCAGTTGAGCTGGCCAGCACTGAACTCAGAGTTCACAGTCCCAGTTCAATATGAAAACACAGGGTCCTTGTTCAAAAATCAGGAAAGGGGGAATGCCATTAAATAGCATAAATAAGATGTAAAGACATTTCCTTCCTTCTGTGTTCTTGCTAGATCGCACTGGTATCGTTTGCTATCCAATACATTCTAAATTGAGAAAAATTAAAATCTTGCCCCTCTCCCATGTTCATTGCCATTCATCTTTATGTTCTGTAGTGTCATCTTGCATGGCAAGGGAAATGTATTCAGCTCAAGTGCACAATTATCAAAATTACAAAATTCACATTTCATAGCTTATGTATACTGCTATGGTTGGGACCAGGAAAGTTTCCCAAAGACCCAAGTGCTAAAAGGTTAGTCTCCGAGGTGGCACCACTGTTAGACAGATGGTAGAACCCTTATGAGGAGGGACTTAGTAGGGAGTTTTAGGTCACTAGGATGTGCCCTCAAAAGGGGCTGTGACTTTAATCATTAATCGTGGTTTGTCAGCTCGCATGGGTTAAGAAACACTTCGCAGATTAATGGAGCGCAGTTCTAGGGGGGGTCTGTGGATGATCAACCCGGAGGCCAGCAAGCTGAGTGGGAAAGACCCAAGGCAGATGTGTGGGTGGCCCCAGCCAACAGGCTCGTAACCTGCATGGGATAAAAGGGGGAGAAGAAGGAAGTGCACCATTCTGGAAGAGCTCCAGTCTTAACTATGGCCTCTGGCATGAGTCCCCAGTTTCTTCAGCCTTCAACACAGACTCACACTTGCAACTGGACAGTGAGCTTCTAGTCCTCTGCCCTTGTCCCAGAGCCACATCCTTGATCCTTCCTGTTCTATGGCTTCCATCCTCTTAGGCTGGGCAGCTATTGCACCATCCAGCTCTCCAGTGCATTTGGCACAGAAGGTTCTCCCACCTCCGATCCTGCAGACAGCCCTCGTGAACTCTCCCACCTACGATCCTGTAAGCCTAATAAATCCCCTTGCTTAATTATACATATATTTTCTATGGATTCTGTTCTTCCAGCAGCCCCTAACTAAGACAAGGTCTGAAGGGCACCTGCCCACTCTGTGCTGTCTTATTTCCTTCTTGGAAAAGAGGCAAGAAGTTCCTCACTGCCACGCATTCCCCCCATGATGTGCAGCCTCATCTCAGGCCAAAGTAATGGGGCCAACCATTCACGGACTGGCACTCAAGAAGTGTGAGCCAAAAGAAGGCTTTGCTCTTTATGAATTCATTGCCTCAAGTTTTTGCTACAGTAACAGAAAAATAACACCACGTCTATGTTTTCCCTATCAGTAGAAACCACTGAATTCAGAGGCACCATAACTGAATAATTCACTTGACCCCTCAATCAGGCCTTTTTTGGAAATGCTGAACAATGCTGCAGGGAAAACCCACACACTTGAACCCAGTGGAGAGAGAGCAGGAGATCCCATTGGGTAAGATAGCTGCAGGGGCCTCATAGTGGCTATAGGTGGCCTTCTTCTCTGGGTAGAATAAACCGGTGACCGAAGCATTAGATATGGTAACTGTGTCTTGTATCTAAATGTCTCTCCAAAGCCTCATGTGCTCATAGGTGGGGTTTGGGGAGGCGGCTGGATCATGGGTGTGTGACAGTAAGATTAAGGGAGTGTGGTACTAGATTAGCCCACTGATCAGTTTAGCATAGCTCTGGGTGAGGATACTAGGAAGGCCCGTTCTGGGTGTGGATGGCACCATCCAACAGGCTTGTAGCTTGGATGGGATAAAGGAGAAAGGAAGGCTCTCTGCTCGCTGCTTCCTGCCCACTGCGCCATGGACTCTTCCTCCCCTGCCATTCCCCTCTGCCGTAACACCCTGCCTTAGACCCAGACAACTATGGACTGAAACCTCTACAAACTGCGAGCTAAAAATCAACCTTTATTCCTTTAACTCGTGTTAGGTACTTTGTCTTAGCAATGATTAAAAATAACTACTTAAGTTTATGTGTCAATTTAGCGGGACTAAAGGATGCCCAGGTAGCTGGTAAAGCAGGACTTCTGAGTTTGTCTGAGAATTTCTGGAAGAGATCAACATTTGAGTCAGCAGACTCAAAGAGGCTCGCCTCACCCCACACCATGCCAGCCTAGACCTAGGGCTGTCAGGTTCTCTGCGCCACAGAAGTCATTACCCTGAGATCCAGAAAATGTCCGGTGGCCGACACAGTATTGTTTTATTCTTAACTTTAACTGCACTTTAAAAATGAAAGATGTTGCCCAGAAAGGCAATCAGAGACCCTGGGAAAATAACCCCCACATTACCATCAGCCAGCATTACTGTGTGCGAGGCAAGGGCAGGAGCTCTGTGGAGACTGCCCCCTTGGACATGCATGCTCAGCTTCACTCCTACCCCCTGGTTCATTTCATGTGCAGCTCTGTGGACTTTCACAATTGCCACCCTGCTGTATATCTCTCCAGGTCAACATGCAATAGCCTCGGCTTAAATTCCCCTGCACCACTGCCCACACCTCCTCCACAGTCAGCCCATCTCTCCCTGGTGCCCCTGACTGGTAGCGAGCAGTTAGAATGACCACACCCATAGCCCTCTGCTCCAGCCCATGCACATCAGCTACTAAGTCATGGAGTAACCTGTGGTCTCAGTGAAGTCGCAGTGGCTTTCAATTGAAGGGAAGATACAATGAGTACAAAAACACCAAGTGCCTCTGGAAACCCAAACAACCATGGGAGAGAGAAAAGAAAATGCAAGAGAGCAGCAGGGACAACACAGCCACCAGCCCCACTGACCCTGCTCGCTGCCATGATAGCCAAGATTTCCTCTGGCTTTGAACAGTCTGTGTAGGACAATGTCTTCTCCTCCTGTCTGGATCCCTGTATGCCCTCTGCATCCCCTTCACAGCCAGCTCCAAGGGGGCCCAAGTTCTGCTTGCTCTCCATCCCCCCTCCCCACCCACTAACCAGCCTTCTTGGCAACGCAGCTTTTCATATTCTCCATTCCCTGCTGGATTCCTCTACATCCACGTGGTCCCCGGCCACTACACAAAGAGAACAGAGTTTCCCCAAACCAGGATCCCTTCCAGCCTTCCTGCTGGACCCCACTGACACTCCTCTCCTCTCCTTGACTCTCAGTGGAGTTCACACTCAGGAAACCTGCTGTACTTTCATATTTATGTTCCCACAAAATGCATCCTTTGAAACCTCACCTTCAAGGGGATGGTATTGGGATGGTAAGCCTAGGCAGGTGGTTAGGGCATGAAGGCAGAGCCCTCACAAACAGGATTAGTGCCTTTATTTAAGACCCAAGAGAGTTTCCTTGTCCCCTTCACCGCACGAAGTTACAGAGAGAAGACAGTTGTCTATGAACTAAGAAGAAGGCCCTCTAGACATCCAACCTGCCTTGATCTTGGACTTCCAAGGCTTCAGAATTGTGATACAGAGCTGGTACAGATAAGCCACCCAGTTTACAGTAGTTTGTATAGCAGCCGAAAGGACTAAAGCAAAACCCCTTCACAAAAACTTCCAGAATGGCCCTTTCCTCCACTTCAGCCAAGCCACTCCTGGTTCTTTCAACAAGATTACAGCAGTTGCAGTCTTATCCAAACATCTTTTCAGGGAATTCTCCTCCTTCTTCCCAGACTCTCTACTTCACAGTTTCCTGCAATTCTCTCCTATGAGCCACCTACCTCCATCCTCCCTGGGAAAATATCCCAGGATCTTCCATAGACTGCTGATCCCACACATCTCATTGACCCACCCAACGCCATCCCACACACAGCTGTGTGTTTTGCAGAAAGGATTTCAGAAGGAGCCTTCCGTTTAAAGCCAGTTTCCCCAAACCATCCCTACTATGTCATCTCTTTAAAAAAAAAATCCCACTATGTGGAATGAGATTTCTCAGCCACACTTTCCAGGGCAGGTAGCAAGAGGTGGAGCAGGGACGAATCTCCACTACCTTCTTCCTGGGGTGGCTGGAGGAAATCTCAGGCCCAGAGACAGCTGGTGACCACACTGCTTTTTTCCAGACAAATTTCAAATATTCTAATCTATACTGCATATCAATTCTCTAACACCCAGGGGCCATAAGCCCAACCTATGGGCTGTAGTAAGAAAAATGTGTGCACTCTGAAAAAGTTAAAAATGCTTCAGAAGCATGAAACACCAGCCAATTCCCTGCTCCACAGTAGGAAAAATGTGGATTACCTTATCTGTATTTTGAAAATATAAAATGGTACCTATGGCACCACCATTATTATCTCTATGAATATAATTGCATAAGTTTATTTTTGGGGTCTTGCTAATCATAATAGCTAAAAACTTGCCCCAAAAAAGAACAAAACAAAAAAAAATAGAAAGACACAGAAGTAGACAAAGAAATGCTTCCAGTGGTCCTTCGCCAATACAAACATATGGGTGTGGAACCATTAATTTGGTACATATAGCAAAATCATACATACTTATGCTAGCTCTAGCTCCTGCTTTTTCCCCTCACAATGAGATCTTGAACATTTCCTCCTGTATATAAGCAACCTTTCCTTCATTATTGATGGCTGCCCTGCTTATCATGATTTTCTCAACCAATCCCTTCTAGTTGTACATTTCAGTTGTTTTATTTTTTCCTCTTCTTATATGTAGCAGTATTATAACACTACAGTGAACATCCTTGAAAAGACTTATTTGAAGATCTATGATTACTTCCCTAACAGATTCCTAGAAATTGAATAGCTGGAGCAAAAGATATTATAATTCTGAAACATCTTTTTGATTGTTGATGAGGTCATCTTGGTAATGCAGCACACATACAGGCTCGGAAAAACAAACTCAGACAACCCTAGGATCCCACATTCCTGGTGGGCTCTGAAGTGACCACAGCAGACTGTGGAGCCCACCATCATCACTAGACTGGTTCCTGCACAGAACTGCACCCCTGACTTGGAGATTTTTAACTCCAGCTGCAGAGGCAAGTGTCCAGAAGACCATGTGAGATGCTGTCACTGATTAGATTACCTCCCTATGCCAGGGAGTAGTTGTCAGATGAGTTTGATCAGGCAGCGGGGGTAGAAGAATCACACTGAGGTAAGAAGACAACACCACATCCAAATGCACCGAGAACGCCCCCTTCCAAAGAGCCTCCCTTGCACCAGGAAACGTCAGAGTTGCTAAAGAACCATCACCTGCAATGCTGCTGATGATGCATTTATCTCTCAGTCCATCTAAATGACTGGCACTCATCCTGCTTCTACCTGAATTGTCCATGCCTATGGCACTGAGTGACCAAGTGATTCGAAGAGCAATCAAAGAGGAGTAGGAATGAGAAAAATCAATGATCTCTTCCTTCACACTCTTAAAGAAAGGGCAGCAGCAGAAATACAGAGCAGCATGAGCCTTGAGCTTGGGTCACTGATTAGAAATCGCAATCAGTTAGAAGAGAAAGATAAGTCCTACCGGGGAGAAGCTATGTGTAGATGAGGGGCATCAAGGACACCAAGGTTACTGTGGGTCTTCTCTCTTCTCCACAAACCCCACAATGCCCTTCCTACCTCCTCTCCGTGTGTGGCCAGGTAAGGAATCACTGGGCATGAGGACATGCATCCCTGAAAGCAAGATGAAGGAGTTAACAGGATGCCTGGACAGCACCACCAAGGAGATGTGTCCTAGGTCCAGGGAACATGACATCTTCACTTCTGCCTAGTGGGGAAACCCACTTTCAGTTTGGATTTAATCAAACCAAAGAGACATGGAAAACAGCCTTCCTGGAGTCACAAATGCTACAGAAAAATTTTTAAGAAAAGATGCTACAAATTGAAACCACAGAGTGTTTACCCCAGCATTGTTTATAATACCAAAAAGTTAGAAACAAACTATGTTGTCCAATACTAGATACATACAGGATCTCCACGCAATGAATGACACACTGACTTTACCATTTTAAAAAGATGAGACAAATAACAATGCTGTGTTATTTGCAGAAAGCAGATAACAGATTCAGCAGCGGCCCCTGTGATATAGACCAAAATAATGTTTCTATTTCTTCCATGAGATCAAGTGATCCCTCTCTTTTTAGTTCATCTGTGCTTTCTGCATTTTTTATTGTGCTGGAATGAATGAAGAAACCATGGTTGTTTCTGTTTGTTTTGTTTTGTGTTCATCTTCCCTTCACCACAGGGCAGCAGAGAAGTCCAGGGGCCAAATCACTGACCTAGCAGACTGTACAGGTCAGAGCACAGAGCTGCGGCATGGGAAGGTTATTAATAAGTAATTAGTGGCCAGCATTTCTCAGAGTACTGCGGAAGGCAGTAATGCCTCTTTGTAAGCTCCACAAAAGACTACAGATGTGGAACTTTGATCAAGTTCAACACAGACTCACACAAGAAATGGTATGAAATCATGTGGAAAAGAATCCACAGAGCCAGGGTTGGGGGAAACAGGAATACCCAAGCCTTACTTTTTAGGGAAGAATGTCAGTAAGATCTCAGAGAATCGTGACACTTTTCTTAGGGCTCTACTGCATAGCACATGCGGTCTCTGATTCCTGGGCACCACATTCACTGGGCACTGCGGTAAGAGACCTACCTTCTAGGCACATGTGGCTTTGAAACCCAGAGGATGTGAAGTCGCCAACCAGGACCTCTTGCAGTCTGCTGTTTCAGGAAAAATTTTTTCTCTCTTCTTCATATGCCTCATAATGGCATTTTGGACCACCTACAAGATTCCCTCACCTAGTGACATCATAGACATCTGTGTGTTGTAAATAACTCTATGATGCTGACACAATGAGATCACCTGAGACATGTCCTCAGGAAGTGTCCCCTCTGAAAAAAAACACATAACTTTACTATGCCATACAAAAACCATTTCCGTTACATGAAGTACAGGTTCTACATCAATGCAGTTCCTCTTGCCTCTGTTGTCTATTTCTGGAAAAGTCTGGATTTGGCCCATGGTTTTGTGTTCATTTCAATGGCAGCGTGGAAAGGGAGGGATCCCCAGTTCAGTCTGGGGCGCAGGCTTTTAACCATGAGGGGAAAGGGGCACAGGATGCTCTGAAGCTGCAGCAGCTGCGTGCTCCTACGGGAGGCAGCAACACCTCAGCCTGGTGTCTCCGTCCATCTCTCTCCACCCTCCCAGAGACCAGAGTCCTGCCGAGGGATTGCAACCAAATAAAACCATACAAAATAACAAACAGAAAAAGGAAGGGGCTGGGTAAGGAAAAGTGAGCATCTCTCAGATGAAAAGTGTCCCTCATTAAGTTGTTGAAAAAAAATTTTTAAAACGGGACAAGTTTTTCAGCCATGACATAAACCTCCACAGAATTTCCCAGACCACAGGAGAAAACAGATGTTGTCTAAATTTGTGCCAAAGACACTATGATCTTAAACTATTTCTGAAATTATTATTGCCTCTTCATAAGCAGGGTGACCAGGTCCTACATCCTTGGCCAGTGAAGGAGTCCCTCAGAGTGAAGGGCTGCATCAGAGCCCCAGTGGCTAAGGCCCTTACACCCGTGTACTCAGGAGCCACATGGAGAAAGGAACCCTCCAGAAATAGCTTGTTTTTCCACCCCACTCAGTGAACTTTTGGCTGAGAACAGCATCGTTTTTATTAAATGATTTCTTTTTATGAGTTGCAAATAGTCGGCACTTGACCTGAAGCCTCAGTGAGACTCACAGATTCAAATCGCTTTGTCATCCTCCTCCTCCTTGGGTTTTGTATGTTGCAATGACCCATTTGCTGATTCCGTGACCTTTAGCAGGCTACTTAACCTCATTTTCTGAATGTCTCCATACATAATAGAATTCCACTCTGTCTAGGAACACAGAAGCCACCTGGCATGGGTGCACAGTTGCGCTCAGACTTTGGCTTTCTAAACTCACCTGAAAACCTGCCAAAACAGCACATTCCATGCTCCAGAATTTCTCACTCTGTAGGTCTTGGTGAGGCCTGGTGTGTTGCACTTTTATAATGAGCATCCTTGAAAATATCAGCAATTCTCATACAAAAATCAAAAAAGAAAAACAGTGGCCCATGCTGTCTTTTTTTTTTCCTCAGCCAACATTTTATCCATCAACATATTTGCCAATGATGGAGAAGAAAAAGGAAATAGCAAGTGGTCACAATGAACCAGTGAGATCTACATGAACGTGCTCTTCCCCAAGAATGACGATGGTCAGTTTTGATAGGATGCCATGAGTCTGGCAAAAAGCAGGAGTCCCATAACTCCTGAATAAATGTGTGCTCCTTCTGCTCTGATACTTTGTTTTTTAATCTCCATACTACCATGCTCTAAAATGCTAAATTATTTATCATTAACAAAGGCAAGATAAAGAAAGACTCCCGGATGTTAGCAAAGTGCTCTGGGTTTCATACTCCATTGCTCACAAAAGCAGTCTGACCTAAATCTGATGGCAATGCAAAGCTGCAATTTTCCAGCTCCGGGTGACAACGTTGACTCAAAATGTTCATCTAACTAACTGCCAGCAGCAGGACCAGGCTGAAGTTACACAGATTTTATATCTCATCACAACTCTCTTTCCTCTTACAGGCTCAGCCACCCAGAAGATGGTACAAAACAACATTCAAAATCCAGGAATGGATGTGTCTTGGGGTGGGAGAGAGGATCTGGTGCCTTGGATTCTTGGAGGATCCCAGTGTCTCTGGCTTCTCACCTTCCTGGGACCCTCAAGCCATGGAGAAGGTGAAGGTTGGGAGGCAGCATTCTAGTCACCCCTGGTATTACTGCTATGTGGAAAGGGATAAAGACCAAGTAAAGAAGAATGTACACAGCAACAACAGCTCCCCCTTATACACAGGGACTGAGTGCAAGAGCCCTAAGGCTCACCTAAACCCACAGCCAGTTCAGAACTTTAACACACTGTCCTTTCCTATGTACCCTGCGGCTTTGCCTCATAGCACTGAACACTGCCATGTTTTATATCTGGTGCCTCCTTTGCTTCAATATTCTTATGCTTTGGGGATACTGGTAAGAAAAATAAGAGTCACTTGAACACAAACACTGAGAAACAGGCACAGTGTGCTACATAAGCAGAAGGCTACTAAGTGCCGATTGAGCAGTGCTAGTTTGAATTTGAAATGTCCCCTCAAAACCCATGTATGAAAGGTTTAGTATGCAGCTGGACAGTATTGGAAGATGGTAGACATATAAGAGGTGGAGGAAGTTAGGTCATTGTGGACATGCCATGAAAGGAATGATGGGAGCCTGGCTCCTTCCTCTTCCTGTCTTTTTCTTGTCTCAGCCGTGAGGTGAGCTTACCATGATGTGTTGTCTCATGACAGACCCAAAAGAGCAGAGCCAACCAGCCATGGACTGAACACTCCAAAACTGTGAGCCAAAATAAACCTTTCTTCCTTATAAGTTTCTTGTCTCAGGTATTTTGATGCAGTAGTGGAAAGCTGACTAAGCAGGTCAGCTAGCTGGTAACTTGTGCTACTTGGACAGAAGGGAAAGCTTTATTGTGAAACAAAGGGAAGACTTCAGCTGTGCCTAATGTGAGTCCAGTGATTCCTGGTCACTCGGCTAGGGATGGCCACATGGAAGCTGAATGGAAATCTCCCAATGCACAACTCAGTCCTCTTCCCAGACCACAAGGTGACTGGTGCCCAGGATTCTGATAAAAAATGCATTATTTAATAGGAGCAGGTATGGATCATTTTGGGGTTCACAATGGCACTGTTATTGCCCTGGAACCCCAGGATAGCCATGTTCTAGGGAGCCAGTTAGAGAATACTGTAGGGTAATATTCCATTTTCTATAAAATGGAATATTACTCAGCCATAAAGAACAAGAAAATAGATTCATTCATAGGAAAATGGATTCATATTGAAGATATACTCCTAAGTGAAATAAATAAGTCACACATGTGTAAACACCAAATAGTGTCCCTGGTGTGAATAATCTGCAACAATGCATAAGATTCTAATAAGATTACAGACATTTAGAAATGGGAAGAAAGGAGCTAAAGGTGTAGGGAAGGTGGGATGGGTAGGAGAAGAGTAAAAAGGGAAAAGAAAAAAATGTGAGAGAATGAAAAGATGAAAATAAAGTGTTTGTAGATGGGGAGGGGAGGAGGGGGTGAAGGGAGGGCAGAGGTAAGGGGAAAAATGAGAATCAAGACTTGTCATGTAGAGGTACAAGATCCCAACAATGAATGTAACTGTGCTGTATCCCTAAAATGTACCAATAAACTCAATTAAAGCTAAAAAAAAAAAAGAGAATACTGTAGGGGACACTGTCTACCACTCTGAACCCTATTTCCTTCTCTGGAAAAGTGGAAGACTGGATAATTCCTTCTCTAAAGCCCTCCTTTTTCTAAAGAGTTTTCTAGGCTAGCCTGCTTGAGTCCCATGTATCAGTGTGCCTGTTGTGTGTCAAAGGAAATTTCTCTGTCTGGGACCACTAACATGCTACTTGGAATCCCCTGCTGTTACAAGAGCTGCCCATTAGAATCTGGTAGGCTGAAGCATGAAGATCTCAGGTTTGAGTCCAGCCTGAGCAACTTAATCACTTCGTGAGATCCTGTCTCAAAATAAAAAATAAGGAGGACTAAGGGATATAGTGCAATGTGAAGGCCCTGGGTTCAATCCCAGGCACTCCAAAAAACAAACAACAAAAACAACCTCAACTAGCCCTAGGCTACTAAAGCAAGTTCCAGAAAACAAAAATTTGATGTGCCTATCCCAACAGGCCACGTCTATGATCACCCAAAGACAAGAGCTTTCCCAACAGAAGGGAAAGTAGGGAATGTTTTCAGAAGTAAAAAATTGAAAAGCACATCGCTAAATATCTCAAACTTGGTATCTCTTCATCTCTTTCTTCTCAAAAATGAATAAATTTGGCCTACCACCCTTTTTTCTCTTCAAATTACAGAATCAAATGTTCCAAGGATAAGGGATATCCCTGGTATATTCTTCAATCTGTTTCTAGTCCTAAAATTGGGGATCATTCTAGCAGATACCCACTGTGTCCAGCTCTGATTGCAGCTCACAAACACGTGACCACATAATCAGAGCAAAGGGTGGATCTTTTTTTAAATTAATTAATGTGCTCGTGTGTGTGTGTGTGTGTGGGCGCGTGCGTGTGCACACGTGCGCACACGTGCATGTGTGCTGGGCACTAAACTCAGCACCTCACCCACACTAAAACACAAGATCCAGCACAGAGGTACATTCCTGCTCCTTCTGAGGCAGGGCAGTACCTTGTTCCCAAGTGTAAAACACGGTGTCCAGACATAGCAACTTCATGCTCGATATCGCAACAAAACAAATGAGCCTCATTGCTGCTTTGGCAAATTCTCTGCTAATCTCAGACCTTTTTATGTTCTTATTCTTTAGGTTCTTATTCCTTTTCTCTTTCAGCTTTTTTCCATACTGGCATTTTGATCACATCATCACCATAGCCTTTCATCTTCATCCTTTTATCTTTTCCATAAAAGAATCTCCCCCAAACAGAGATGAAGTACACACAGACCTAAATATTAAGCTCCTCAGAAGCCCTCCAAAGCATAAGAAAAATCAAAAGGCAAATGATAAATCTGAAAACAATATTTTAACATATCTAAAAAGGCAACATTTAATGCAAATATAGTTCTAACAACTTTCTAAAGATAACAAACAGCTCTCATAAAAATGAAGAGTAAATTCATACACAAAATGAGGGTACTTAATAAAAACATGAAAAAAAATCAGTAACTATTTTAAAGCAAAATTAAAACAAACAGAATTTTTCAAGGGCTGGGGATTTAGCTCAATGGTTCTGCCTGCCTCG